CTGATACTGAAAGGCCGAAACTTTGTAATAAATATGGCGACAAAGATGAGGACAATAGTCCGAATAATGTAAATAATGTACATAATACCTCATCTCAGAAATATACACAGATACTAAATATCTCATATTTGCTAGATCATCAGATGTAACATAAGCTCTTAAGTCATGATATTCCATTGGGTCTTCAACATGATTGAAATTAATCAGGGTATCGTTTGCGAATTCCTAGAACTTGGGGTACTATTTGTTTATGGACATTATAATTTATTACTCTAAACGTTATTTTTTACTCGGTAAATGTGTTTCATTTGCTGACCCTGTTTATTATTATTATTATTATTGTCTGTATTAGGGAAACTGCTTCCATGACCGAAAGATGCTGCTACCAGTTAGGCTACCAGAATAGTAACGTTTGAAATTTGCCACTACGAAACTGGTAGCGTAACATTTCGGCTCTAGACTCCACACAACAAGCCCCGCAACGTTACCCTGATTTTTTTCAAATACGTTGCGTTGTAAACGTTACATTAAAAAGAAATGGATAATAAATTCCACGAAGGTATCGGAGCGTTCATTCATCTTTTAAATTAGCGATTCTCAATAAAGATAATACGAAAATAAATTTTAGAACTTTGTTACATATTGTTGTAATCGCGGTAGACTAATACTTAGCTGTTCGGAGCTGAGCAATCGGGAAGCCGAGTTCGAATTCCAATCGAGTTCATTGCATTCACTTACGTGGTAATACCCTTGGAAAAAGTATGAATCCATCTCATCTCCCAACCCCCCCAGCGATGGGTAAAATAGCAACGATATGAGTCTAGGAGAAGGATACACTGAATTCAAACCTCTGAATTCAAAAAAGTCTGTACACATGGGCGTGGCCGGACATTTGACCGAAGGACATTTGACCGAAAAATTATAAGTAAAAATAGTCACAAGCAATACTTAAAGTATTTTAATTAGCAGTACTATAAGCTAGAATAGGACTAATAATTACTATTGAATTTCAAGTGATTAAATTATTAAATCTAAATTTAAAGTTAAAAGTTTTCTTATTTCAATATTTGTTTATTGAAATTAGTATTTTGAAAAATATTTGAGTGTATTTGGGTAAAAAGTAGCACCTAATTATTTAAATTCATATTTAACAGTAAGATAAAAGTTAGTTCATCCCTTTAAGACAATGATCATTAAAAGCGAAATTGAAACATCTTTCATATCGTAAGATTGTGCTATTTTTCTCAAAATACTTTTACAGTAATATTTGAAGTAAAATATAATGTATACAGAATAGATTTGTAAAAAGCCTGTCATATATATATATATATATATATATATATATAAAGGAAAAATTATAAAGTAATAGAGTAAATAAATAGAAATATATGTAGCACATTACAATATAGAGTGTGTCATACATTTTCGGCTAAATGTCTGTCGGCCAAATGACCGTCGGACAAATGTCCATTCGGCCAAATGACCGTCGGCCAAATGTCCATTCGGCCAAATGTCCATTCGGCCAAATGACAGTCAGCCAAATGACCGTCGGCCAAATGACCGTCGGTCAAATGTCCATTCGGTCAAATGTCTGTCGGACAAATGTCTGTCAGCCAAATGACCGTCGGCCAGATGTCCATTCGGCCAAATGACCGTTAGCCAAATGACCGTCAGCCAAATGACCGTCGGCCAGATGTCCATTCGGCCAAATGACCGTCGGTCAAATGTCCATTCGGCCAAATGTCTATTCGGCCAAATGTGTGTCGGCCAAATGACCGTCGGCCAAATGTCCATTCGGTCAAATGTCTGTCGGCCAAATGACCGTCGGCCAAATGTCCATTCGGTGAAATGTCTGTCGGCCAAATGACCGTCGGCCAAATGACCGTCGGCCAAATGTCCATTCGGCCAAATGTCTGTCGGCCAAATGTCCATTCGGTCAAATGTCTGTCGGTCAAATGACTGTCGGCCAAATGTCTGTCGGCCAATTGACCGTGTACCATACATGCGACTGAGGGCTAGAACTTCTAGTATTGGCATATCTACAGAGGCGGCTTTAAAAGGGAACGAGGGGAACTAGCTATATATAAATCCATCTCTTTTCTCCCCTCGGCTATGGGTAAAATAGCAGGACAGACTAGAGCCTATAGCTTTCACTGGTAACCAATTTAAAAGAAGGAAATACTGAATTCAAATCTGATCTCACCTTGCTAAAAGTCTATATAAATGCAGCTTGGGACCCCTTGTAAATCCAAAATGAAATGTTAAGTAAAGAAAAAGTTTTCTGGTTTCATTTGTTCAGTGGGAAATTTTCCAGCAGCAACACCTCTCGACTTTACTATAACGTTAAGTTTGGGGTCTGGAAATTAGCTGATTGCCGCTTAGCAGCAATGTCACCACCGCATCACGAAATACCTGTCTACAAATTTGCAGGACGTTCACTGTTATCTCGGATACATTTGGATCCCGATATACACAACTATTTAATCCATAATTGAAGGATTGAGAATAAAAAGGGGTCATGCCTTTTCCGAGGGTATTATTGTCAAAGTTAATATCCGTAGAGGACGAATGCTTAATTCTGAATGAATTTTCCGTTCTACTCTTAAATTCCAACCTAACTTTCTCTTCCGGAATTAAGTGTAGATGATAATAATTAACCACAGATTACTTTGTTTATTACTAGCTTAAAAGCCGCACCCCGTGGGTACTTTTAAGCTAACTCATGTGAAGGGCTAATTGGATCTCCGACCCAAAGCTAAAAGGACCTCTGGCTCAGCTAATAAAACAGCAATGATAATTTTGAATAAACTAACTTTGAATTCCTCGATTTGCTCTATGGAATCCCACTTAAGCTACGATTCGATCTATAAGTCCAGTTCCGACCAAAAGATCGATTTGGGTCGAAACTTCAATTTGGGTCGAAATTCCGATTTGAGCCGAAACTTCGATTTAGGCCCAAATTTCGACTTAGGCCAAAACTTCGATTTGGGTCGAAATTCCGATTTAGGCCGAAACTTCGATTTGGGCCGAAATTCCGATTTAGGCCGAAACTTCGATTTGGGCCGAAATTCCGATTTGAGCCGAAACTTCGATTTAGGCCCAAATTTCGACTTAGGCCGAAACTACGATCTGGGCCGAAATTCCGATTTAGGCCGAAACTTCGATTTGGGCCGAAATTCCGATTTGAGCCGAAACTTCGATTTAGGCCCAAATTTCGACTTAGGCCGAAACTACGATCTGGGCCGAAATTCCGATTTAGGCCGAAACTTCGATTTGGGCCGATATTCCGATTTGGGCCGAAACTACGATCTGGGCCGAAATTCCAAATCAGGTAAAAAAAAAACTCCATGGAACAACTTCAACTGACAACTTCTTCAAATCACAAACTCTGCGCAACTTCAAAACTTCATGTATCGAATCCTCCCACTTTAACTCTGATTACTTGGCGTTTTGGAGAAATAAAATTGATTTCCTCAATTCGCAAAGTTTTGGAAATATTTTAAACTGAATTTAAAACAAAAAGAATTAAATTCACAAAATTTTTGTATTACTCAATATCAATTAAAAGAATCTTTGAAAATCACTAATTTTTCTCAATTATTGTAAAATTTGAATAATTTATTGTTCCCTCCGCATCCGGGCACAAATCCTAATACTGGATGATCAAACACAAGATGAAGGGCAGATTTTCATCCCGGGATCATCGTGATTCCAAAAAGGTATATGCCTATGTGGAGCATATGTGGGCCGAGTTTGAGGGGTTTCAATCACACGGACGGACAGACAGAAATTTCAGTTTATTTTATTTAGATTTATAAAGTTTGCTTTTGTTTTGTTTTTGTGAATTCCCCACAACGAGCCCGTAGCATTATGCTATTGCGTTACAAATACGCCGACTTGTAAGGTTACATTAGCAGAAAATAGATTATCAATCCCAGGAAGGTATTAGAATGTGTATTCCTCGTCTAAATTTATGATTCTCAATTAAAGAATACTAAAATAAATTTTATGCCTTCTATACATATAGTTAATTGAAGAACAAGTATTCTGATGTTATTTGACCAATGCAGAATTTTTACCCTAACTTTGTGACAAAAATCGAGGGTGAACGTTCAGTTTCGGATCAGGAAACGAGCTGATTGCAACGTTACTGTAACCACACCACAACGTCACATATCCGTCGACCAGAAGAGTCTTCAATATTTTCAGAATGTTTCGTCTTGCTAAAAACAATCACTCCCAGCGGTGAGTGAGCAGTCTCTCATATATCGCAGACGATGATGTAATGTCCACGTTTCAGATGTCGGATCTGGAGCCCCGCGCACGACCACTCACCGAGAGTTATTGACGAAGCATTGCAATGTTAGCTACAAAATATTGAAGTCTCGTATTATGCATTATACCCTGTCTAGTGGCAAAAGCTGTTGGTGGCGCCAGGGGTGGCAGTACCACCTAAGCCACTTTAACTGTGTTACCTCGCCTGGTTGGCGGCTTTTCACACGTTGTAGGTAGAAAATTGATCTGAATGCGTTATGATTGGTCGGTACCTGTATGTCACGATATTATTTGTGAAAAAAGTAAATCGTGTTTCCATTTTTTCTCCTGACCGCATTGATTTTGACGAGAAGACAGTCCTAAGCATTTTCCTCCATTTCAGTGTCTTTTAAACGTACCAGTATTTAAGTTTCCGTGTCAAGACTTGGATTTACGAGTTTTAATCGAAAATCTTCACGCGTTAAAATCTGCAATAATGGTTTAAAAAGGAAAACATATATACACAGTTACGTATTTGCTTCAATCAGGCACAGCTCGGACCCTCGGCAAACAGGCTCACCAAGTTGTAGGCATACTCTACCCGGAAGTACCTCTAATAAGAAAAACATAATCACGTGCTATCGATGAACTCCACGAATTTGCTTTTGACACCCTCCTTAAATGATTTCTGTTTTAAAAATTTTGGCATTATACTCGAATCTAACGGAGTATGAGTCCAGGCATTATTATTTCTTAACAAAAAAATAAGTTTGATATTTGGTAAAACTCCCCGGTCTCAGATATGAAGTTTGCACAATCGCCGTGAGGAATTTCGCCTGAAACGGTTTCACTGTTTTTCGTACAGGTAATTTCTCCAGAGATATCATGTTCCACGTTTCGACATATAAACCGACAACATATTCTTTCCCCTCGCAAATATTGGTTGCTTCAAACACAATACTGTTAGTGTAGTCCCTCATCAAAAGCAGCAGGCACTGGTTATTTATATTAGCCACCTTGGACGTGACGCCAAAAGACTTGCTGAAGGTCATTCGAAGATACGCTGACCTCCAGGAGGCCATGCTTTGGGCCCCAGTCTCGATACACCGGCACAGGTCGTAGTCTAGATTTCCCCTGTAGCAAATTTGTGAACTGCTGTTGGAGTGCATATTTCGCCGGTAAGAGAGCAGCTTCACATCCGGTACGCCACTGTTGTCGTTCATCGACAAAAGAACGGTTAGGGTGTCCAGATTCCGAACGTCCTTGCCTAGCACGTGGATATCCATTTGCGTCAACACCTGGTCTCCTTCCCACCACCTTTGGATGTTACCAAAAGTGATGCCCTTCAGGCGACGGCAATGGCCGAACGGCGAGAGCATAAACAGGCCTGAGTCGTTTTGCTCGGCCTCGATGTCGGTTTGGATGCGTTCGTTGAGGCGGCCAAGCACGAATTCGGCCAGGCCTACTTGAATGCTGTCGTTCTCGAAAGGGACAGCCTCGTTTTCGTTTAAGCAGATATGCGGCTGCGTGACGCGTAAGAATGCGCACGACCGACTTTGAGGAAGCGGGTGAAAGAGACCGAAATTCATTTCGTTATCACCGAGACGGCTATCAAAAGTCACTTCGTCTGTTTCTCGATAATAACCATTTATTAAAATGTCTCTAATCGTACGATGAACGTCTTTGAGCGTCACCAGTCGCTGTCTGTTTTTATATATATTTTGTATTTTCTCCTTTCCAAGAGACGCCTGTAGCCGCTTCGACAGTACGATGTTTAGAGGTGGATTTGAGAGTTGAGTTATTCGGAAGTTTTTCCATCCAGGGGGACTAAGTCCGTGCCCAATATCGCCAATTAGAATAACAGCCGTGTTCTTCTTTCGGCTTAGGTATTCCACAACTGACGCTAAACGTTTGTCGACGCTGTCCAAGTGGCTCTCGCTGATGTCCGACGTCCGAATAATAGAAAATAGAAGGTAGCCGTTACTTCCTTCCATTTTGTTAAGAATTTTGTGATAATCAAAGAAACCGGACAGGTCTGCGTCCTCGCCGTCTTTGGATGTCTGCTTTTGGCAAAACTTGTCTCGCAGACTGCGTGGCAGATCGTTAAAAGCATTATGGCTTTGTCGATCGGTTCCAAAATCGGCATGTCGGAAAAAATTGCTGAAAAGTTTCCTTATCGTTCCAGACATTGATTCTTCGCAGGTGTGATCGAACAGGTAGGTCTTGTAGCCGTGCATGGCCGCTGTATGAGCGAGCGAATTGTTGCAGGTGAATTCTCCCGATTCCATGCCAGAGGTCGGCAGCTCGCCGCAGAGAAGCTGCTTCAAACCTTCGGCGTATTTGATCTTCGTGCTTTGATGTTTCGTGAAGTTGTAGACATCGGCATGCAAAGCAGACTGTATCTTCTTCAGTTGCGCATTAGTCCGGTGAAATTTCGACTGAAATTCCTGTCGAGAAAAGAATCGGAAATAAAACAAATGTATACTCGGAACAGTGACGTTCGTTCCCAAAAGCATGCCTCTGTTCTTTGATTGGCTTTTACAGTTTGATTGAAAGGCCTGCATAGCCACAGAAGTGGATAGCGTTTCCTGTCCCTTGTGATGGTCACACGTCACACAACGCAGTACCCCGTGTAGCGACGTGTCGTGCGGTAAGTGATAATGATAGTCTTCAAGAAATCTGCACACTTTCCGGCGTATGAATTTAGGATCTTCGAACAGTTTGTAATGAAAAGTGATAATCTGTTTGTTAATCTGTTTGTCGTAATACCGGAAGTTGCAGTTAAAGCAAGACACGTTCTGGCAGGGATTTTTGGTTTCGTTAAGATAACACTTAAGTTTTACGAAGCAAATATTTGGGTCTGTCGCGTTGTAGGACTGACAGAGGTGAATCAAAGAAGAATTGGTTTCCAGTGGTTCCTGGAGTTTTTGGACCAGGCTTCTCCGAAGAATACGAATCGCCGAGTAGTCGTTATGCAATTCTCCGTAGTTTTTTTTGTACCTAACCGATTTCAGAGCAATCGGCTTCATACCAATCCAAAGAAAAAACGTCCACCAAATAAGAAATGCGATAATCAAAATAAGTGTATATTGCAAAGGTTTCGTAATCATTTTAACCGTGAAGTTATCCAACGCCAAATTCGGAAAATAAATCTGAGTGATACGAAAATTAAAACGAGGCTGATCAAATTTACAAATTCATTTTGCTGTTGACAGTTTCAAAATATGTTATTCTCCGAAAACTATATTTAAAAGAAAGCTATATTCTTATTTTTATTTTTGCGGATAAAAATATTTTCAGTTCTATATTAATAGATTCAAGCCTGGATCAAACAACCTAGACACGGCGCACTGCATGATGGGATGTGCCGCATTCATCACAGTCATTTTTGCCAATTAATTTGTAGTTGTAGTTTGTATGATATTTATGCATTTATCGTGAATATTTGCGGTGTTGTTCGCAATAATTACTTTAATAACAAATATTTAATGTTTAGCGATATGAAAATAGATTAAAGAATTATCACGAGAGCTTATACACACCATTTTTTGATATTAACACATTTACTGTAAACCCCTAAATAATTTGGTGTTGGCAGTTTTTATAATGACGTTGGTTGTCAGTGATCTCGTGTCAACTAGGAATGTTTTTCTGATACATTTTTCATCTGCCGGCGCCATCAAAAGGTTTGTCAGCAGTCGTACTTTTAGTGTGAAGACAATGCTAAGACTTCAGTTCAATCTAAATATCAACTTTTTTATTGCCTATATTGGTCTTTATACAATTGGCGTTTGAGGTCAGATTTTGTAATTGACCTGTGGAGGTCGACGTGTTAAATCAATAATTAAAAAAAAAAAAAGAAGCTAGGCGATTAATATAAATATTTTTCTAGGGATTATCAAGATTTGTATGTGACACCATCACTAGAATGTTGGTGATACGATAGATGGAATCTTTAAGGTCCCTCGTGTATATATTATGTCGGTGAAATCGAATTTGTCAAAGTTTTCATTTTTTTATTTTTTTTTTCAAGTAGGGAAGTAATTTGGTAAAATTAAAAGCATTTCTTTTATTTTTTTTTATTTTGAATATATTCAAGAATCCAGTGTCATAGTTTTATTCCGAAGACTTTCTGATTCCGATAATTGAGACATTTTGCTTGGAGATATTTATCTGGAAAGAAAAAGAGAGATAGAGAAAGAGAAATTAATTGTCTGAATAAAAATGATTTTAAATTAATCGTAGAAAAATGAATTCCAGCAAAGAATTATTTTTATTTTTATGTTATTTTTACGGCACTTAGATCAATAAACTCTTCGGCAGCTAGAGCAAACACCCCGATATCTGAAAGAAAAAAAAACAATATATATATATATATATATATATATATATATATATATATATATATATATATATATATTTCCTTTGAGAGAGAGAGAGAGAGAGAGCAAACCGAGTCAAACCTTTAAAATGTAAAGAAAAACGGAATACGTGGTTATGTTTTTTTTTGTTTATTGACTATAAGTATTCCGTTCTTTTTACCTTTTAGCCGGCCTTCCCTGACGATCCGCTTGCTAGGTTTGTCTGTCTCACTAGGTTTGACTCTCTCTCTCTCTCTATATATATATATATATATATATATATATATATATATATATGCATACCCAGCTTTCCCTGACGATCCGCTTAGGTGAAAACTTTGGTAGGTTTGTCTGGCTCCCTAGGTTTAATTAGGTCTGCTCTACTTACCGTATTGAGCACTTTATTTAGTTATTTTTTCTACTCGTATCGGGGTTCTTTTCTTTGGGCTTTGGTCTTGCATGCTAGACGATTATTTCGGCTAACGTACATGTTCCTGGGTATTTCTTTTTTAAAACCTTTTTTTCCCTTTGGTATTGGTTTGATTATTTGCAAATCAAAACACTGAAGGTTTTTCGAACGAGTATAATGTCTTATACTTATAAGATTACTACTACTACTAATATATATATATATATATATATATATATATATATATATATATATATATATATATATATATATATATTTTTTTTTTTTCTCACCATGGTCGATTAGTCAGGAAGGAAACTTCCTGATGTTATCGGAATGAATCGAGTGCTTGCGGCACTTTTGGAAAGATCCAGAAAACCGTACCACGTGTTGACCCAAGTCTTGTGAGTGAAATTGGGTCGAAAGAACTCTAGAGGGCCGTCGATAGCTGTGCTAGCACAAAGACGCAAGTCATTGTGGCCGAGGGCGTGAACGCGCTGGCCTTGTTCAAATTGTCGATCACGCAAGATAACACGTTCTCTCCCAGAAGCTGGAACTAAGGTCTGCTCGGCATAGTTGCAGTATAAACCACAGATAGGCTCAGTGGGTATGGCTGTTGATCAAACACAAATGTGCCTGTGCGAGCGTCTGCAATAGGGATTGGCTAGGCGCCCTGATAGACGGGTATCCTCGAATACGAGTGATCAGCTATTAAACACACACACACACAAACACACACACACACACACACATATATATGTATGTGTGTGCGTGAAAAGTGTGTGTATATAAATATAAATATATATATATATATAATTATTTATATATTATATAATTATTTATATATTATATGCGCGGTACTTATTAGAAAGCGCTCAATATCAGAGATAGAGCTAACATATTTGGTTGGATTGATGTGAGTTTGTAACCCTGGGTTTCACGCTTTTGCGATCGTCAGACAAACTGATTGATTTTTTTAAAAATTTTGGGTTTAAGTAGATTGCGTGTATTGGTGTTATTATGGGAGTGGGGGGGAATCGTCGTCCTGATGTCATCGTGCTAACGCAAACATAGATGCATGTCCGTACACCCGATGAGGTACGCAGACACACATACACACTTGCTTGTCTGTCGGGACTCATACATATATAAACATATGTGGATAGTTTCGGAATTTGACATATGTATGTATATGGGTGGTGTTGTGTCTATACATACGCATTACACAGACCCCACCACACGTATATACATACACGCGAGGAAATATTATTCAGTGAAAAAATAGAAAAATGCTCTGAGTGTTGACATGTATACATTCACGAGACATTCAGGGGAAATTTTCGCTACACTTCCAACCTTTGAATTTCAGCATACAAATGCGAATGTATAGACACAACTATAAGTTTCGAGTGACAAGGTACTGCAGATAAGTTTTTTATTTTTCTTGCATAAATGTATGTTTGCCTATATATATATATTAAAAAATCTTATTTGAAAAATATTTTACAACACTACATAAAAATTTTATTAGAATTATGCCAATCATCAGGCGATACTTTGTGACTGAAAACAGAAAACAATACGGTAGCTTATTTAAGATTTAAAAAAGGAGATTGGGGGTGGGGAATAGTAGTAGCCTTGGTGATTGATTTTTTTATAGTTTTAAGGGGATAATTTTTATTAAAAATCTAATTGAATGTGTTTTTTTTTGCAATCCCGATTGTCAAGATATGTTATATGCGTAAACACTGCCTATACATTATTGATTTTATTTAAATTTGTAGGGGTGACAGCTGTTAAAATTTAGGTATTAATAACCATATCTATCTATCTATCTATCAATCTATCTATCTATCATGAAAATAGACAACTTTAAGGGTCCATTGGTTATAATTTATTTAGCCAGGGAATTTCTTTTTCCCTGGCTCATCACACCACATTTCCAAGGGTGAAAAATTAATTTAAATTTACACACACACACACACACACACACACACACACACACACACACACACACACACACACACACACACACACACACACACATATATATATATATATATATTTACACTTTTGGTGGGTAGTATTAAGTTGATATAGAGAGTGGTGAGAGATAGTGTAACAGTCATGGTCGAAATTAGAGAGGGAAGGGAGAGATAGGAGTGATTTTAATTTTTTTTATTAAGATACCTAATAGCGAGGAAGTGGATTATGGGCCAGACATTGACCTATCTAATAGGTCATCTCACAGGAAACGATATAGAGAGAAAAAGAGAGAAGTAAAGATGTAAGAAATAAGACGTGGAATTAGTGTTTTTAAGGAAAGAAAGGGGAATAGAAAATTGGAAAGGGAAAAAAGAGAATTAATATATATATATATATGTGTGTGTGTGTGTGTAAAACTGGAAGTCAAAATGGCTACAACTGAAAGAAAAGAGGAAAAAGAGAGAAAAAGTAAAAAGACAATAAAGAGTGAGTGCAAAGTGAAACAAAAAACGACGGAAAGTATAAATAACCACAACATTCTACACGTACACATCTAGGCGCAGACGGGGGCGTGGTAACCCACATACGCACACACACATACATCATAAAAACATAATTTGCACCAATGAAAAGCGAATACAAAAAGAAAACTGGACAAGTATAAATAGTCAATTGCTGTTAAAACCGACGAGTGGACGGACTGATTCCCTGAGGGTCAGGCTACGAAACTCTGGAGTCGGGATGCTGACTCAGCTAAATGATAAATCTTTTACTTGTATTATATATATATATATATATATATATATATATAGAGAGAGAGAGAGAGAGAGAGAGAGAGAGAGAGTCAGAGACAGAGAGAGACATAGATAGATACATAGGTAGAATAAAATAAGATAGATAGATAAAAATAGATTGTTAGATTATAATCTGAGACGGAGAGAGATATGACGATAGATAGATAGATAGATAGATAGATAGATAGATAAAGTAAAATAAGACAGACAGATAGATAGATAGTTTGGTTTACATTGTTTTACGGCATATCAACCTCAATGGGTTATTTAATGCCAACATCATTTTTATGATAGATTCGTATGAATAGAATATGTATTCTTTGGTTTGGTTTACTTTGTTTTACGGCATATCAACCTCAATGGGTTATTTAATGCCAACATCATTTTTATGATAGATTCGTATGAATAGAATATGTATTCTTTGGTTTAAATTGGTTTGGTTTATTTTGCTTTACGGCATAACAACATCAATGGGTTATTTAATGCCGACAACATTTTTAGGATAGATTCGTATGAATAGAATATGTATTCTTCGGTTTAAATTGGTTCGGTTTATTTTGTATTACGGCATAACAACCTCAATGGGCTACTTAATGCCGACAACATTTCTGTTTCTGGTAATATATTTCCTTCAAAATTGCTGGTAATAATTTTTTTCAAAAACGTATTGCTGGTAATAGTTAACTATTTGCCCATAGCTGGGACCCTAACAGGTGCTACCACCCCGGGTCAGGGTGGACCTGGGAACACCAGCAATTAAGAAGTGGTTCCACGCTCCTCAAAACCTCCTGATCAGAGGCCTTGCTGCTGGACGTAGTTTATCGTCTTACCCAGGACGCGGATATAGTTTAACGTCTTACCCAGGACGCGATAGATAGATAGATAGATAGATAGATAGATAGATAGATAAAGTAAAATAAGATAGATAGATAGATGCTACTGGACATATGTTGATATCCTTTTTTAAAAAAATTATCTTATAAAATTTCGGTTCAAATAGATTAAAACTTTTCAATCCCCAATAACAACCGAAAATGTCTTATTCCACCTGTATACATTTTAAAGTATTCTATGCATCAGAATATTGTTTTGCGGTCGTTGCTTAGCAACGCATCAAAATATTCAAAATATTCTAAATCTAATATTTCAATAATTTTCCATATTGCAAAACGGAATCTAATCTCATTGCCGTTTGATGCAGTATTTTCCTTCTGGTTTAACTTTTACTTATGCAACATATTTATACATTCGGTAATTGATTTCGATATCGATCGGCAGGTTACTCACCACAGGGAACCATCCCTGCCTCCCATTAGAATCTCTTATGTTCAACTGCCCGAGAGCACCTCTCTGCGACTGCGTCCGCTGACCTGAGATGGAACAAATACGATTGAATCAATAGCTTCATCCACCGCAAGGAAATTTGGTTTTCTGTGTCGCGCCAGAAAGTTTTTCTTGCCCGAGTCCATCCTTCTAATCTATAATTCAACCATTCTCCCTTGCATGGAATACTGCTGCCACATAAGGTCCTCGACAAAATCCAAAGATGGATATACAATGTGATTGGCTCTGATCTGGCATCTCGTCTACAGTCGCTCTCTCACAGACGTGACGTCGCCTCCCTCTGTCTTTTCTGCAAATACTTTCACCATAACTGCTCCGACGAGCTACTGAATTTAAACGTGCAACTAGACTGGCATCTCGGTCCCACCCTTTCACTGTCGAAACAGTTAAATGTAGCCGTCCCTTCTACTCCAATAGTTTCATATCTCGCACCTGTCACCTGTGGAACTCCATCCCCTTTCCTTGTTTCCCTGATAGCTATAATCTCTAACTATTCAAATGTAATGTCAATCGACGTCTCCAGATGCCTTGATCTATTCCCTATCCTTCTCTTCATCCTTTCCTCTATCACGCTTCTTTACTCACGATCTCACTCTCTGTAACCCTTGCACTGTCCTGGGTATGACGATAAACTACATCCACGTCCAGGGCAAGACCATAAAAAAATCCAACAGCAAGGCCTCTATTTCAGGAGGCTTTGAGGAGCGTGGAACCTCCTCTTAATTGCTGGTGTTACCAGGTACACCCCTGATCCGCATATTAAACCTGTTTTGGTCCCAGCTACGGGAAAATAGTTAACCCCGAAACTGAGGTAAAAAAAATTTTATAAAAGTGTAAAAATAGGTTTTAATACCAGAAATACTTTGTAAAAAATTATTACCAAAAATAATTTTTTGAAGAAAAAAATGATTACCAGCTATACGTTTTTGAAAAAAATAATATTACCAGCTATACGTTTTTGAAAAAAAATAGTATTGCCAGCTATACGTTTTCGGAAAAATAATATTACCAGCTATACGTTTTTGAAAAAATAATACCAACTATACGTTTTTGAAGAAAATAATATTACCAGCTATACGTTTTTGAAAAAATAATATTACCAGCTATATGTTTTCGGAAAAATAATATTACCAGCTATACGTTTTTGAAAAAATAATATCAACTATACGTTTTTGAAAAAAATAGTAATACCAGCTATACGTTTTTGAAAAAATAATATCACCAGCTATACGTTTTTAAAACAATAATATTACCAGCTACATTTTTGAGGAAAAAATATTAACAGAAATAGATTTTTGTCGTATCAAAAATATTACCAGGAAAAAAAGTTGTCGACATTAAATAACCCATTGAGGTTGATATGCCGTAAAACAAACCAAACCAAACCAAACCAAACCAAACCAAACCAAAAACAATAACATGATTGAGACATTTTACAGTATTGTGTATAGCCTTCAACTAATTGTCGTCTTTGGCAAAGAATTTGAGATCATCCATGTAGAATAGGTGATTAAACACTTTCATTTTTACTTTGTATCCATAGTTATTACTGTTTAGTTCATACAAAAGTAGAAATTAGGTTAGACAGAATAGAAGGGACGACTTGAAAGATTTCTCTTCGGATATTCAAATAATTGGAAGGGGCAGTACCTTTGGTGGGATTTACGTATAATGTGGTTTTTCACAGTCCCATGTTATTGTTAAGGAAATTTACTATCACCAAGTAGACTTTGCAAGTTTTCAAAGCCTTAAGGATCCAAGATGGTGAAACACTATCAAAGGCTTTACGGTAATCTAAGCTGTGCTGATATTTCTAGCTTTTTTCTGCAATTTTCCATCATTTATTAGTAGTTGATCTTTGCAACGATATGAACCTCTTTGACATCCCTTCCGTTCCAGGGGATGAATGTTGTTTTCATTGAGAAAAGCGTAAGTTGGTCAGGACAGACGTAACTAATTCATATGTGGTGGATAGAAATATTATTGGCCTATAATTTTTTGATCATCTGATTTATCCGTTTTTGGTAGGAGATATGTAATACCTTCAGAGATCCATTCTGGAACTTCATTATTGTTATTACTTAGCATTGACAAATTTTACTCGAGGGTTTTATGGTTTAATGATTAATGATAGAGCTAAAAGCTGTGTACCTTGTCATTTCCTGGGGATTTCCATTTTAGGGATTTCGTTAGAGCTTGTCTAAAATTATTCTTGGTTATATTTTTCATTTTTTCACAAATTTATCTATCATTCGTTCTTCTCGTTTGAGCTACTCTGCACTGGGATTATTTTCCTTTCGGCTGCTCCAAATATTCTCCCAAATCTTTTACACTTCTTCAATAGATAGTGGCTTGTTGAGTTCTATAGCTGCTTTTCCAATTTCCCTGAAAAAATTCTTGAGGTCCGGTTGGAATATCTTATTTTGTTGATAGAATCTATAAAGCTTTTCATATCGTCTTTTTCTTTGGGTCTTTAATTGCAGTTTCTGTTTAAGTATTTCCTTGATTGGTGGAATTTCATTTACCGCTTTAATCTTATATTTCATTTTGATCTTATTAACTTTCCGTGTTGAAACATTTGAATTTCTTGAAATCTCATCAAGTATCGATAATTCACATCTGATTGTTGTTCATCATGACGGTCGTCTTCGAGTATAGAATCCAGAGGTTAGCATTGAATATTTCGAAGACAGTAGGAAAGCGTAGTTCAGGTTAGCAGTGGATATTTTGGTAAAAGTAGCAGAGCGTAGTTCTTCCTTCTGTTTTTCTTCTTCGCCTGACAAGCTGGCACTGGACATTCGGATAGAGTAAACAAAATGGCCGCCTTTATACACGACGGATTGAATATTTTACGTCTTCTGATTGGTTAACCTTCTATTGGTGGACTATAAAGTGAGTCAAGTCATTTGGGCTAGCTCACTAGTAAATATATATACCCAAAAAAAACCTGACACACTCTATTTCTTCTATTTCTCGTTTTAAAAAAACACTCAAAATCTAGCTTCAAGCTATTGTTTAATTGCGGTAACATATTCAGTTTTTAACAAAAATGCTAAAAATAAAAAAATTTTTTTCTTTTCTTAATAAATATCAATATTTCGACAGTATGTCTGTAATCAAATTTATTAAAAAAAAATCAAAAAAACTATATAAATTGGCATAAAAATTATGTCTTTGTTCAAAAAGGAAGCCTTTCAGTAAATCAGAAAATACGGTTGTACCTTAATCAACAAATGCGATTTGAATTCAGCAGGAGGGACAGCACTAACCGGTTTGTTCAGTCATGTCGTCCCAAAATCTCCCTGAACATAAAGTTTGCGCCATTCGCAGATGTTTTATGGATTGATGACAGATGATAGAGCCAAAAGTTGGGTACCTTGTCATTTCAATAATTCACATCTGACTTATTCCATTTCTCGAGTTCTCGTTTTAATTTTACCTTCCAATTGGTCTGTTTTTTTTTGTCTGTTGTTTAATTTTTTGTTATTGTCTAAAATATTAACAAATTTTTTTTCGACCATTATTTAAAAATTTAATTTGAAAAATTTTTTCATTACAAACGTTGTCTTGTAATTTAAAAAAAAATGGAAATACCTGGTTTTTCAACTACATGCGTCTTTGTATTAGCAGGGTACATCCTCCTAGCCGGTCTGGAAGTATTAAAAAAAGTCCTGTCGACAATTTCCCTTTATTTGCTGAAGAACATATGGACCTAATTATTTTATTACCTTTTATCCAGTCCAGATATTAATCCTTCATGCTTTGTTAATATAAAAACATCCAACACCGTCCAATAAATTTTGGTTGTGAAAATTTGTTATTCTATCTCTTCCAAATGTTGTCTCATCTGTAAACCAGACTGAAGAAACAAACAATGGATCGGAGGTTTGTGCAACAAACCAACAGCAAAAAGTTCTCTTGACCTCTCATTTTGAGGTTCGAAACGACCCTGCGTATGTTGCAAATGATTTTATAGAAGAGCTGCTCTTGAATAATTTTCCATGTGGTACTATGAGATGTAATCAAAATATTATTTTTGACGGTGCTGATACCTGGATTGTCTTGACAGCCTGTTCAGGATGGGTTCTTCGAAACGAGACGTAAACTATTTATCTTTGACTTTGTATCCGATCCATAATTTGTGATGATAATTATCCTGTCTCATCAACGCGACGATAAACAGCATATTTTATATTTTGCAATTTGATACAGCCGTGCAGCCTAATCGCGTCCATTACCATTCAATCGGCCGTATGTAAAAATCATATCTGGCATTTTGATTATAGTTTGTGAGCCATGTTAAATTTTTTCAGTTTTGTTCACTATTATTGTCAAGCGTTGAAAACATAATGGTATGACAATTTTCAGTTAGTTAGTTTAAAAAATTATATTTATATATATATTTCAAAATATAATAGATAGCGGCTTGGATTGAGGAATCGGAGAGCTGAGTTCGAATTCAGTCGAATCCATTATTCATTCACTTAAAAATTTGCTTCAAAGGTGTAGAATCCTCCATTTGAGATTTCCATCTATCTGTAAATAGCCGGACAGATGAGCTATGATGGCGACTGGTCTAGGGAAGGACCAAAATCTTCTCGAG